AAGAACAAACACGGAAACCTATTCTGTTACACTTGAATTAACTGCAATTACAACAAAGAGGAACCCAAAAGTTATTCAAAATTACAATACTTGATGTAGACAAAGAGATTCGATTTCATGAAGTAGACATTAGTTTCCAAATTCAAAAATCCTAAAATTTCTTCTATGTTGACAAAAGAGGAACACACTCGATGAAGAAGATGACTCAAGAGGAAGGTTTTTATTTTAATCAAGACGTCGTTTTCTATTTGTTTATAATTATTTTTTATTTTAAAATGATTAACTGCACACGTAGGATACATAAAACGGAATTCAGTAACGGTTTGACTACGAAGTATTAGTCAAAGTATGTAAGAGAACAAATACAATAGTTTAGGTTGGAAATTTAAATTTAATAGGAGTACGAGTATGTATTCGCACAAGTTATGAGTACATAACCGTATCGGGACCGTCTACAACAGTACGGATATGAATCGGCCATTGTCCCCCATGAATATCTTAATTTGGTTATCTATCTGTATATGTTCCTCAATAGTTGATGCTTCTCCCTGACCTGTTGTTCCTCATAAGTCTTATGTATTTTGTGAATCCGCAATTGACCTTAGAATGTGGTTGAGCTTTGCCATGAATACCTTCTTTTGGTTATTTATCTGTATGTTCATCAATTTTTGCTGCTTCTCATTTTTTTGAATCTGAAGCTAGCCTTAGAATGTGGTTGAACTTTGCCATAGATACCTTTCTTTTTTTATCTATCTGTATGTTTGTCAATAGTTGATGCTTCTCCCTAGTCTCTTGTTCCTCATAAGCTCTATATTCTGCATTTTGTGAATCCGAAGCTGGCCTTAGAATGTGAGCTTTCCCATCAATACCTTGCTTTGCTTATTTATATGTATGTTCCTCAAGCGTTGCTTATTCTTCTTGGCCTCTTGTTTCTTATAAGCTCTGTCTTCTACATCTAACTCAATTTTTTTCAAATACGATTTTTCCTGAAATTAAACTAGCAAATGCAATGTTGAGTGTAGTTGCGGATTTCCAAACGAACTTAACTCTCTCTGGAATATTTATCTGAGAATAAACAAAAACACCAGATTAAGAATTGGAGACAAAGTCGAAAACGAAAGATAATAATAATATGGGGAAAAGGTGAATTTACATTGTGAGAGAGATGTCTGAGGCTGGGAAATCAATTTGCTTCACAACCACTGAAAACCCTTAAAACACTACCTACGGTTTTCTTAGTGGGCTGTCGTGGAGTCTAGATCCGTGGTGGGTCTTCTTTTACCGTTAGGTTTCTGGTTTCTCCAACACTACCTATGGTGAGGCTCTCCGAGCCGTTCGATTTAAGAGGTCTAATGGTGAGGTGTTTGACATAATTGATTCCAATTTCAGTATACTTTGTGGCTCATCTCTTCTCTGTTGATGTGTGTTTTCGGCTAATTTCAACGTTTCTTAGAACGGGTAAAAATTGTAATGGGCGATGACTATGTTTAAGCTCTGGTGGTGATTCGGTGTAAAATAGAGGCGACGGTTTTGGTTCATCGACTATTTCCATTATCGTGGGAGATGATCCTTGTAGCTTTCGCAGGCTCAGGATTAGCGGCCATAGGCGGCTTCTCTAGCTGCTATTTATGCTTCCGTGCCGCGCGATGTGGAATTA